CTCTCGATATTATTCTCTGACACTGCGGGGTCAAATCTCTCTATGTCCTTCGCTAGCTCTCTCAGAGAATGGAGATTTATCCTAGCTCCTCCGCTGACGGAGATATGGAAGAGTTCGTGGTCAGACCTGTCGCTGCTAGAGAGAGTTCAGAATTCGAATTCAGACCTTTTAGCAACCATCGTTAAACTTAAAGAGTATTACTTTTAAGTACGAAATCACAGTTTTACCACAGAAAACCACAAGATCAAGTATGCAATCAACCCGGTAGATCGCAAAAGATCAGAAAACAATCAAGCACTGCTTAAAGAGCAAGGGGAACTTTTTTTCTTTCGGCTTTCATGAATGCATGAATGCATCTTGCATGAATGGTTTCTCTGTGGCTGCACCACAGAGATGAACAGAGATATGGGGCCTCATTTGGGAAGCTCAGAAACACTTAATTCTGCATTATTATTAAGCCTCACCGCTACACAGTCATGACTTAAAGCTTTAAAATGACAAAAAATTGAAAAGGGCCTGAATATTTTTGTAAAGGCACTATAACCCCAGAGGGTCCTTAAAATAGGCGGGCCCAAGAAAAAAGACACAAAATACAGACATACTTTAAGTTTCAAACAAATGCTCTTTCATTTATGATGTGGGGAAACAAAATTCAGAACAAAACCCTAGCTCCTGACTTAAAGTCCTCTGCCATTCACAGCAGGGCAACTAAACTGCTTACTGGCTTCTTAAACAACTTTCAGACTTAATTCTATCTTCAAGACCTCATAGGCTCTTCCAAAACGATCAAAATTCCCTTGTCCCTTGGTCAGTCACTTCTTTCTACATTCACTCTGGAAATGCAGAAAATCGACCAATTATGAAAGCATTGCTGCTTTTTAAACTGTCACCTAACCAACTGTCTTCCAGCAACGGGTCAGGTGATTGAGGGCAGCAGCTGTTTCCTTGCAGCTGTCTGGGGAATGTGGTCTAGACAAGGGCTTCCATCTTGTCTGAACCTACACCCATGTCAAACCCATCCTTTGACAGCCACATCTTTCCCAGTTTTCATAGAAGACAACTGAGGAGAGTGGAACAAACCTTTTTTCTTCCTGAAGTTATACACCGATTGTATCTTCAGGTCTTGTAATCCTAGCTCTCTCTCTCTTATTAGGTTCCCTGTTGTTCCCCCTTCTGGGAACTTAGGAGACTTTGGTTAAACCCCCCTTTTGGGTTTAGAAACCTCTGATCTTCAATCACATAGAAACTAATAGAAACCAGTCAGGCAGCCTCTTACTCTCTTCTTCCACATGTGCAAAATTATCCGACAACTAAGTTGCTTCCACTGTATGAAGTACTGGAAGGTTCAGCTCAGAAGTTCAGCAGCTCCTTTTTCAACTGAGTGATGCTCTCCTCTTTCCTAGGCTGTTGTCATTTCTCATGGGAGTTTGTCATTTTTCTCATTTGTCTGAAACTGTTTCTGCAGTTGCTTGACCATTTCTTTCTCCTGGACCAACTTCTGCCAGGGGACCTTTAGGTTTTCTCTGGTTTGGTTCAGATTGATTTATCAATTTATTGAGTTCACTTAGCCACCATTTCAGCTTTGGCTTCTCAACATTCTTTGCAGTGTAGACAGAACTGAACTTTTGATCCTCAGGTACTGCTGATCCCGAAGAAGGCTCCACAGCTGAAACATTGTGTTTTCTTTCTTCTCTTCTCAGCATGGAATAAACCTATTACTTAGCCTGACGCAGCTACCCACCTGAACTACTAGTACCTATCAACTGCACACACCAGACTCAAACAATGATATTGATTCCCCTAGTGGATCTTTCATTTTCGTTATTCTCACTTTCTTGGTTAAGTAATCCAGAATATTACAGGCGTTTCCTCCAACAGGTGGTGTGACAAACAGAGTAAAAAAGTTGATGGTGCCTCCCTATGTGGTGTGACATAATATGGGATATGACAGTCAAGGAGCAAGAGCTATCAAACTCTGGAATCTAACAAGTAGCAGTTGCGGGTGGTCTTATAATTAGTGATTTTGTACTTCACTGGAAGGAGAAAACAGAGAGTGAGTCTTGCTCAGGCTCTGACCTGGAGAAAGTGCAATACCAAAGCTTGGCCGTAGAGTGATTAAGGTGCTGGCATGTGTGGTTTGCATCTGCCTTGCAGGCGGAAGCACAGCAGACAGATTTTATCTGTCTCTGTGAGTGGGCATGGCAAAAGAGCAGGTTATGTGCAGCAAGAGAGCCAGCTATGTGGAACCACAACAACCTATTAATATCAGAAGGCTGGTGGCTGTAGTTTCTGTGAAAAAGACATCAGCCTAGTTAAGACTTTCTGTGTTGTGCCGTGTTTATGTGTGCCCCTGAAAAGGGAAGGATTGCAACAACAATCTTGGAGGAGAGTGGGAGAAAATGTTTCTGTTAGTGCTGCCCTGCAAGGGGAGGATTTAGAGTGACAATTCCAGAAGGAATTGGAAGAGAAGTAAATATTTGTGTTACCCTGGAAGGTGGCTATTTAACAAGACCATTTCCAGAGGGGATTGGAGATTTAGAAATCCATTGGATTTAAAGAGACAGTCTGTTCTGCAGTGAGAGAGAACAGGGCTATCTGACATGTCTGCCATCTCAGTTATTGTGAGTACAATAAGTAATGTGCGAGAACCAAAGACTAAATTGTTAAGGTCAACACTGATGCTAATGTGTGTGAAAATAGAGAGGTCTAGGCATGACAGAGTTGTACCCGAAGCTGTAAAATGAGTGAGACAGCCTAGGGTGACACAACCTTGAGGCACCAGGGACTGTGATTTGTTGAGAGGCTAGAGACTCTAAGTTGTATTTTGAGAGTGAGAACCAGCCTAGTGGCATAAAGTGCAGAGCTCAGCTGTTGGAGGGAGACTTGAGGTCAGACTGGCAGAGAATAGTCATCTTGAATGAATTTCAGCAGGGAACAGGAGGCCATGGAAGAGCAAGGAGTGAGAGTAGGCTCCTAGTGAGAGAGGGAACAACCGGCTTTGTTGTGTAGTGTTGAAGAACAGGGAGGTTCCTAGAGGCAAGAGTCACTGAGGTGCAGGGGAAGCCTCCTGAAACATACAGTAGCAGCCTCGGTCATTGCCATGTTGGCCTTGAGGTAAGGAGAAGGTAAAGGAGGAGTTAGAACAAGCTGGAGTAAACAGGAATTACCAAGTTGAGGGAGATTTCATCTCTACTCCTTGAAATGGACTGTGTATGTGAACCAACCTGAGGTGTGAGGCTAGCTGAGCTCAAGTATCTGGCAAAATGCCTGGCAATGTACGACTCAGGGTGATCCTGGAGGAGGTCATAAAAAGGACAGAGATGTGGAGATATGTGATGACACCGAGGGCAATATGCCATGAGTATCGAACTATGAACATGAAAGTCCGTGAGCTGAGGGCTCAGAGATCCTTAATGAAGGAACAAGCCTGGCTGGTTTGAGTGTGAGCAAACGGCAAGCACACCTCGTGTCTTAGTTACCCCAAGGATGGGGGCGTTTGTGAGCACCACTCTCAGAGGAGAGTGCATGTATAAAAGAGAAAAACTTAGCAAACAAATTTCCCCAATGGGCTACGAGAGGCGTGTCAGTCTCTGTGGACCCACCTGGATTGTGTCCTTAAAGTGATGGCTTGCTCTGTGGCATCACAGTGGGTAAAATTAAACTTTACATACACTGCAAAAACATTTCCATGAGTACTGTTTTCAGCCATTCTATTACACGTTTCTCCCCAAAATTGAATGATTTTTGTCATGTCTGTCTCCATATCTCTTTGTAACATTTATATACAGTAGGTGAAGTTTCTTCGATATGTTTTTCTAAACCTGTGATGCATTATTCCAGTCTTCATGAACTGGAGATGGTGCTGTAGTTATCATTCACACTGAACTCTTCACCAGTAAAATTATTTAATTAGGCATTTTCCCATTAAGTGGTGGGTAAAAAAAGCTTAATTGTGGTTTCAAATATATTGACTGCAGCTTTACTACATGTTAAGTATCCTACATAGACACTTTCAAATATGTCATTGTAACAGACTAATCAAAGCTTAGTTATTATAACATGTTGTACACTGTATAATAATTATAGGGAACAGCACAGTAGTTAGCAGTTAGCACTGCTGCCTCACAGCTCCTGGATTCAACTCCAGGCCAGGTCCTCTTTCTGATTTGCACATCATCTCTGTGTCCACAGTCTAAAAGCCTGATTTTAAGGAAACCTTAGGGATATTACATTTCTCTAAACGTTTCCTGTGATTGAAAGGCACTAGTTGTATGCAATGTTAGTCTCCAGCTCACCATAACCTTTAATGAACTAAGCAGTTATTGAAAACGGTGGATAATAATAGTGTACTACATGCTGTTTTACACTGAATAGTGAGAAGAATGACCACTGAATTACCTTTTGAAAACATTTCTGCTAATAGCAGTATGTGTAACTGATTATTGATGAAAGGCTTACAAGGATAGATTTCAATCAATTACAGTTCAAATTCATAAAGTTGAAAACAGATTACATTATTTACATTTAAACTATTTTAATCACATTATATATTTTATACTGTTACCTAAGATTGAAATATTTTTCAGTTACATTTAACTTATGTACATATATTCCAGCTAACTGAAATTTGTCCCAGGATCTGCTTGTTATTTTTACCATAATGAATTTCAATGTAGGACATAATAAAGTAATTAAATGGAATAAATGTTGTTTTCTTTTAATCAGTAAAATTAATACACAAACAACCACATTTTATTCTCCTTACATTAAAAAAATACAATCTTTACATACATGTTAAGGAATGGTATGGAATCTTGTGTACGGTATGGAAGTGGCTTGTGTACCCTGGCATTCTGAATGGATGCTGTTCTATATTAAAGACATTTTGCATCATCATTGTTATTAATTCAGTGCCCTGAAATGCAAAGACATCAGCATGGAAAAAGCCAGATTAGAAGATACTTGATGAGATTCTTCTAGACATTAGAGAATTTGTCACAGATAATCAGGTGTGATCTCATTCACTATTCCAGCAACAATGCATTACTGCTACTGGAAAATATGGAATGTAGACTTATTATTACTCAGAATTATTAGAGTAAAAACTGCATTCAGACATTTTCATGCTCCCATACTTCATTTTGATGGAATTACTGAACAGATGCAATCTGTATATACAGTAGCATTAAAAAGTTAACTTTGTACAAATTAATTTTTTAAAAAGGAATGAACACTTCTTGGTTGTGACCAATCTTCCTGGAGGCTGAATAGAGGCTGTTTGGGCTCTTAAAGTATGAATAAAATGAAAACTAATTAATAGTGCCATAATTATGTATAATTAATATAGTCAATTGAACATTTCCAAGAAGAAACATTTTAAAAGGTTGCATTTTTTAACTTTAAAGTACCTACTGTATGAGTTCCATTTTACTTAAGATGGATAAAATGCAAAAACATTAACTGCCTTGCAGGAAGAGGAAATAGGTACAGTCATGACACATGGGGAGCCTGAACATTTACAAAAATAAATAAAATAATAACAAAAATAAAAGAGCTTTAAGTGACTCTTTAACTCTAACCCATAAAATCAACAGAATAAAGCAGGTGGATCCCAGAAGACCACCCAGAGCTTAGTGCAACCAATATAGGCACAAGCTACTCAGCATGGACATGTAACTGTAACCAATGTGGGTGTCCAAATATCGAGTGGAGTCATAATCCAAAAGCAAGTAGATTGATTGTTGGTGAACCAACACATTCAGAATTATCCAACATTTAAAGATTAAGAGCAAACACAATGTTGGCTAATTTTCTTGTGATTATTCACATTGTTTTGATTTTCACAATTTTGCTTGATTTACTTTAATAAAAACTCTTAAAATTATATTTAAATTATACAAATAAAAGACAATTTGTATAATAGACACAGGTTATTTTGTGAACAGTGGTTAAGAATATTATATAATTTACATTACTTGTTTTGTGTGGTTCTGTTTTTTTCGCTTAGAAGTGAATGACAAGTTCAGCGAAACTTATCCTCAATGATAGCTGTTGATACTTAGAAATCTGCATAGCTACAAAGGATATAGCTGCTGTTTCTTTTAAGACACTGGATAAACAAATCATGTTTTACAGTTCAATAATTAGGCAAATTAACATTTGAGCCAGCAACTCAGAACAGGAATAAAATTGTTCATCAGTGAACTAGTTAGGGAAAATGGTCTCTTCTATAAAAGGATTTCATGGTCCTTACTTAATTCATCCTTTGAAAACTAGTTTTCATAGTCTAATATGAGTATTTTCAGAAAAAAATGCTCTCTAATTTTCTGATTAATCAGCTCAGATTAATTTAAAAACCCTTATTTGTTTCTTAGTATTTTATATGAAAAGCAGCACTATAGATGGATGATTTTAGTGCATAGAACTGTTTTTCATGTGAATTAAATTTTTGTTTGATATTTACCAAATTTAAAAGTTAGCGAAGAAGATGTAGCCAAAGAGAAAAAACTGACATTCAATTATAAAAGGTTAGTAAAACAGTGAATGCACATATTACAGCATTTCTAAAAGATGAAAACTATCACAGTCATGTCTTTGAAGAGACCAGTTTTGCCCTATTATGGGTTTTCAAGTGTGCACAGTCCTGATGTGGAGTTTGGACTGAAGCATTCATATTTGACATTAAATGATTTACTTTTTTTTAAATATATGTTATTTTCAAAAGTTTCTCACATTGCTTAAACATCAGATTTTAGTAAAACATAATAGAGAGAAAAGAAGAAATTGCTATCAGGTGGTTAGATAACTACTACTGTGAAATTCACATATTTTTAAATACTATTTATTGCATAGAATCTAATAATTCTCATAATTTTATCTTGACTGGTGAAAATTACATTAAAATATCCAAAAACTTTCAATTTTCTCCAGAAGCCACATACATCAGAGAAATGATACAACTTTGTTTATTGAAGACAAACCTAGTCCATTTGCTAGCTTGTACTTTTTCTTATTAATTTAGGAGGGGGGTAGGGGCTGGAGGATGTGTCACAGCACAGACATTGTCCTTCAAGAAACCAATATGATGGCCCTGTGTAATTAGAGGAAATTGAAAAGTAGTCCAGTCACTTGAGTCAAGTCAACAGTCATTAAACATTGACAAATCCAGACAAAAACCTTTGATCCCAGGCATGGTTAAATCTGTCTGTTAAAATGATTAGCATTAGCTTCATTATCCTGTTATGATCTCCTTTGATGCAGAATTTCTTGGATATGTCAAGAAAAAGAAATCCCCCCTTTGTTCTGTCCCACAAACACACTGGGGATGAATGGACAGGAAATCCTTGGTGGGAAGGTGTTTTTTTTTTAGCAGTGGATATCATTAACTATTAGCTGGATGTAGCGACTGGCAGGTGCCCATTGGAGACACTCAGTGTGGGTCACTATCAGGCTGTTTGCTGTCTGTGTCTTTCCCATTGCCTAACACAATGATTGGGGGCCCCTGGTCTTGGGTCAGGAGGGCATGTTCTGTGGGGGAGTCAGTGTCAGAGCTTTTCACAGTGTTATCCTGACAGCCCTGAACCCTGGCTTTGCCACGGTTCTTCTGCCGCCAGATGTAGAGGGCTCCTACAAGCAGTGCTGTCAGTGCCAGCGCCAAGAAGATGGACACTGCTACCAGTTCTCCATAGTAGCTGCGTTCGTTGCTGATTGGCAATGGGCGCACATGGTCCCTGTCAGTATTGGCAGGTACTTCTGCCTTGTGACCGGGTACAGAGCGGGGCTTGTTGAAAGTACGAGAACTACCTTTTACATCTAATCTGGTGTTTGGCACTTCCTCCATGATTGTGGTGGGCTCTTTTTCCTGCCAGTTTCCTTCAATCTCCTTCCCCTCCCAGTCTTCCACTGAGGTTGGCCGAGGCTGTTCCTGGGTGGCATCAGATGAACCATCCTTCCTCACAACTATATAATGGACCAGCAGCTGCCGAAAGCCATTCTCCTCAGAGAAGCAGAAGTACTCCCCCATGGTTTCCTGGGAGGCCAGGAACTGCAGGATGCCATCTTGTGGCTGTAGGTAGAGATTCTCTGAGAGGGTCTTCCCGGCACCACGCTCCCAGTGCTGTATAGCCAGTTGAGAGTTTCTGGAACAATTCAGTCTCACAACTACGTTTGGAGATACACGTACGTTGATATGTCTAAGGTCTAGAAAACAGGAGAGCAAACATAGTATCTGCCTCAGTTTCTTAAGAAAATAAGAGGTTTAACCAAAACTCATAATGCAAAATATCAGGAGATCAAGTATTTGATTATACCTTACATTGTTCACAGTATGATGAGGGTCGCTTTCTCATTTCCTTCAAATTATTAAGTTCTAACACGATACGGCAGTAGTTCACACTGGTTTTTACCCATAAAAGGATTACCCACTTACACCACGTACAGTATATGCAACCCACTTGATTGAAAACATACTTGAAAAAAAAATTGAGATGGGTTCTATTTTTGAATGAAACTTATCACTCACTTGTCATTCCTTCAGTTATCATTATGGGAGAGCTGTAACACATGGACATTGTTGAGAACTAAGTAGCATTGCACTATACTGGTTGATCTACTCAGGAGTCCCCCTGTTCTGTTTTGACAAAACAGAATCTGAAATTGCAATTTTGCAAGCACTACAGGAAAAACGACTTTTTTTCTGTCACTTGTATACATTAGAGGTGAACAGTAATACTGCTCACCTGTGGGCTGCTTCGTGTACCCAGCAGATTTCCCTCTGGGAGCAATTGAAGAACAGCTATTCGCATTCCCTCCTTCCACATCCTGAAAACTGAAATTCACACAACAGCAGAAGTCAGTGTTGGACAGGATGTTCCATGCTCAAGATGAGGCTGTGATATATTATCAACGATTGCTCAAGATCACAATACAATAATAAATATCTTTTATGGGCACTCTGGGGATTACAGGTTTAGCAATTCTAAAATAGATTCAAACATCAGTATGTATGCAACACAGAATCATAAATCCACTCTCCTGTAAAAATGGATTAGGCTTTTAACACCCACACTAACATTAGAAATTTTAACACTAATTCTAAACAATGTACAGTAGGGTTGCACTTCAGAAATGGTTGCTCCCGTACTGTAATGTGCATGTCCGCCCAACTCAGGCAAATACAGCCAGCCCGAACACCTGTGGCTCAGCTAGCAAGATGGAAGCAACTCTGCAAACCCACCCAATACACTAACAAACAAAGACAGACAGAGTGCTCCACACACAAACAGGTAAGTAAAATAAATAATATGTTTAAAGTGCTGTGTCTGTAAATGAGAAGAAGTTTAAATGGAAAGGGAGGGAAGATAAAGTAGAATGTAATCTATGAAGCGTTTATGAAAAGAAGAAAACTAGCTTAAAAAAACTAGCTTAATTGTATGTGCACTCATAGTAAACCAGCTAATAATACAGGGAAAAATTATTAGCATATGCATTAGTGTAGTGCTGCCTGAGATAGGCAACAGAACCCTCTGTCACACAATGTTAAAAAAGATTTTGAAGTAATCCTGTTAATAATGGAACAGATGTTTAAATATCACGACCCCAAATGACCCTGAAGAAATCAATTCACTCACGGCTTCGACTGGATGAGAGAGATATCAGAGCAGACACCTCTGCTGGAATCCCAGGCGCAGAAGGGGTCCTGAGCCAGAATGCAGTCACCACAGCTCGTGTAGAAAGTGCAGTTCGACACTGGAATTTGGAAGACTCCCTCGGAAGAGCCCACAAATACAACCCCCTATCCAGGAGAGACAAATATTGGTGAATATGGTGCCTGCTTCCAATTGTACTTCTTGTTAAAACTGTTTTAAAAGGATCATAACTGTTAACCATTAAAACAATAAGTCCTTGTTCCAACAGGCTTATAACTCTGTAATGATTGCTATCTACTGTATAGATTACTTTTATACAGATACATAATTCATCCTCCCACTAGTTTTTTTATTTCAGCATTTTTTATGTGCTATATTTCACAGTTGGTATGTCTTCAGGCATAATGATTCTCCTCACAGAGAGCAAAGAAATGAACATAATATTTTCTAACTGCTTTAGTTAGAACCTGGAGCCTATCCTGGCAAGCAGTGGAAGGCAGGGTACAACTTGGATGGGATGCCAGTCCATCACAGGGCAGACAGATACAAATACAGACACGAACACATTCATACTAGGGCCAGTGTTCCCAGAAACCAATTAATCTACCAGTATGTCTTTGGAATGTGAGAGGAAACTGGAGCACCAGCAGGAAACCCACATGAACAGACATTATTTAGCAGCCATATCACCCTGCAACTCCTGGGAAAAACTAAGGATGCTGCTGGAAGAGGTGTTAGTGAGGCCAGCAGGGGGCGCTCACCCTGCAATCCATGTGGGTCCTAATGCCCAAGTATAGTGACGGGGACACTATACTGTAAACAGGGGCAGTCCTTCGGATGAGATGTAAAACCGAGGTCCTGACTCTGTGTGGTCATTAAAAATCCCAGGGCATATCTCGAAAAGAGTAGGGGTGTAACCCCGGCGGCCTGGCCAAATTTCCCATTGGCCCTTACCAATCATGGCCTCCTAATAATCCCCATCTATGAATTAGCTTCTTTACTCTGCTCTCCTCCCCACTGTTAGCTGATGTGTGGTGAGAGTTCTGGCGCACTATGGCTGCTGTTGCATCATCCAGGTGGATGGTGCATATTGGTGGTGGTGGAGGGGAGTCCCCATTACCTGTAAAGGGCTTTGAGTGGAGTGTCCAGAAAAGCTTTATATAATTGTAAGCAATTATTAATTAATATTATGAACAGGGAAGGAGTTAGGTTGAGTTAGGTTGTGGCTAAGGATCTGCGCCCGTGACTGGAAGGTTTCCGGTTCAAATCCCACAGCCAGCAGAGGAATCCTACTCCGTTGGGCCCCTTAGCAAGGCCCTTAACCCTAACTGCTCCAGGGGCGCCATACAATGGCTGACTCTGCGCTCTGACCCCAAGCTTTTCTCCCTGTCTGTGTCTGTGTCTCATGGAGAGCAAGCTGGGGTATGCGAAAAGACAAATTCCTAATGCAAGAAATTGTATAGGGCTAATAAAGCAACATTACATTATTATTATTTAGTCCACTTTGCTCATTTGTTAATTTAATAATCTAATAAAGAATTATTTCTTAGTTCTCTCAGGTTATTTGTAATTTCAGCAAGGAAAATAGCTTAAGATTTGTAATTACACATTTAAAACGGGCAACATTAGTTGAGTGTAAAATTGAAAATTGTTGTATCAGTAGTAGCACTGTGTCTATTTAATTGGGCTACTTCATAGTTCATTAGGGATCTGCTGCAGTTGTGGCAGGAGAAAAAGAGAGGTACCTTCTTGATTGAGAGAAGAAGATTCTCCACTGACTGTGGCTGTCTGAAGACCTGAATCTCTTCAATAATATGGGGACCCTTCTTCAACAGCACTACCTTGTGCAGAAAGCCAGTCTCTGTAAATATATATATATATTAGCACTAATACTTTATTGATGAAAATGCATCACTAATCCACAAACTGCCTTTCAGTCTGAGGGTGAGATTTTTGTATCTGCGGGCCCCGTAGCCTTGTCTTGCAATGAACAGAAAACCAGACAGAATCAATTTACTTTCTAATGTTTCAATCATTGTGTAGTTCCCATTAATTCAAACTTCATTCAAAATTCATATTAAATAAAGATAATTTTAAAATTAATGATTTCTCAATCAATCACTCTCCGGTAGACTCCTTAACTACTCTTTTATGGCTCCAGATGATCAGGAAGTCACAGATCATTATTTTGCAAAGTACTGTACACTGAGGCAGTGTGCTTCTGACCATACCAGTGAGAAGGAAGAGTACAGTGTAAAGCTTCTTGTCAGATGCAGTGGTCCTCTCCACAACAATCTTCTTGTAGTGCTGGTTAGGAGAAATGAGGGCTGGATGCCCGTCCACAGGCTGAACAACTTGGTCTGCCAGGAAATTCTCCTTCACAAAGGTCAATGCTTTGTCTGAGGCGCCGTGCAGTCCACACTGTAAGAAGGGATGAAATGTGTGGGAGGACAAGATAAGGCAAGAAAGAGGAATACAGTGTATTGGAGGAGAAGAGGACAGTGAGATTGGGAAAAGAGCAGGGGGAGCAGAGGAAAACTGATATGGAAGGAAAATGATCAATGAAAAATCAACCTGAATGATTTAATATACTTGAAGAACTCTTGTTAATCTTATCCATCAAGATAAGATGTCCAGGAAGTTGATATAAAATTGTACGTTCAAGGTATGCTAGAGAGAAATGAAAGTGCCTGTTCATGTTCAGCTATTATTTCAATAATATGTTAATGAAAGGAGGTTAAGGTTAATCAGACGAAGAAAATCAAGAGTTTTATGGGTTAAGAAGGATGAACAGAAGAAAGGCAGACTGAAGTACAAGTACTTGCCTCCCCTGGCTGAGCAAACTTCTCTCCATTGCGTGTCCTCCAGCGCTGGGTGTCTCTGTTTAGCTCCTTGTATTCTCCAGCAAATACAGCCTTGATGTCCTTCAATTTGAAAGCACAGACTGCAGAGCGACCAGAATTTCCAGACCTAAGATAAAGATAATGAAGGAAAGAGAGCAAAGTAGCATTCAGAATTATTCATTTAGTTTTAGTTTTATCATTTTAAAACCCAGCATTTACCACAGAATTCCCCAAGTCACACCACAGTGTCAACTATGGGATATTCCTATTTGTTGTCAAATTGTCATATAGTATTTTTACAGTTAAAAAGTAATTATTAAACATTTGTTGCAAATGTAGATTGTGCAAAACATTAATTTATTTAATGTTGACTTTATGTAAGTTAAAAACATACAAACATTCCTTTGTTCCACTATCCATTAAAGAGATTTTGTGGATGAAATGTCAAAGTGACCACGAGGATCTCTCAGCTGAGAGAGATTATAGGGTTGATGTAGGCTGGTGACTCACAGCTGGGAAAGCACAAAGCAGAACCCTTTTTCACTCAAATATAAAAGAAAAGTTCAAAAAGACTGGTTCAGTCTTAACAGAAGATCCTGAAGAGCAGTGGTTTTCAACCCTGGTCCTGAACGACTACTATGATGCTGATCTTTTTGTTCAATTGAATTCTAAATCACCAGTGTTAATTGATTTGTTTACTTGATTTGATGTCTAGTTTACTTGTTTCTGTTCTCAGACCAGAGTTTCAGAAACATCCCTCTTTAGCATACATTACCACATCATTTTGGTTTCCTTGACAGAAGTAAAGTTTGCTATATTTTAAGCAATGCAGTACATCTAAATAAAAGGAATTTTATTGAGGGTTTGTAAAATGGCATTAAGGCCTAAACATTTTATTTTTTGGATCACAGGGTTGAAATCAGTTGAAGGTATGACAGTAAATGTGTCAAGCGGCATGTGTTGTTGGTGAAAATATGAGACTTTGTTAAAACTATATGATATATTAGTAAATGCTCATCTGGAATCTTGTGTACAGTTTTTATTACCATGTTAACAAAAAAGACAGTGCTAGAGAATCTATCAAAAAAAGAGAAGACTTGACTCAAATATGCAAAATCCTTGAAAATTTAACAAATCTTTGAGTTCAACAGCGGAATACAATTCAGAAATCGCTAACTTAAATTAAGGAGAAGTATGTTCTAGACTAACTGGCAACAAATTACATAGCCATGCTGTTAAAGCTAATAACCCAGCACCTTGTAAAATAATTTGGTTGAGATGTTTTGATCAGTTATCTACTGGAAACCAAACAAAACTGATAGATTAAACTATCTCCATTCTGTAACCTTTTTATGGTATTATGCTCTCAAATAAAATAAAGTTGCACTTTTCCTAAACAACTTACCACTGTGAGGTGAAGACACCATAGAAGAGGGTGTCATCCACAGAACCACCTTCTGGTGGCGGAAGGGTGACGACATCCTGGATGATGTTGTAAGGCAGCTCATTCGGGGACAGGCAGAGCATCAGAGCTTTCACAAAGGTGGTCCAGCGCTTCTGAAGGATTCGGTCCCCTCCCCTGTCACTCTGCCAGAACAATAATATTCATTTAACTCATGTGTCCCGCAACAAAAGCATTAACGGGACTAGAGTGATACGAGTCCCTCGTTTGACTACTTTCAAACAAGAATAAAGAGAGTTTCTATTACAGGTCCACAGTTCTACCTGCTCTGTGAATAAACTGCAAGTAGAAACTGAGCTGTGCTTATCTTGGTCTATTGGCAGGGCTACATTGTTTGTTCTATACAATACTCCTTGAAACAAATATCTTCTATCTCATTTAAAGACAAACTACTGTTACAGCTGTAAGTGATTGAGAAGTGTCTCTTAGAGTTTAGATACAATTTGTGACTTTTGGAAGACTAAACACTTCTAGCTTCAAAGCAGAGAGGATGTTTGCCGAGGTCTGAGGGGTCCCTTGAGCAGAATCAATTGTAAAGTATACTAAATACCTAGGTAAGTTGTTTGTTAATGTTTGTCAAGGAGCAGTACATACAGTACACAATATAAGATGACATTAAGACCACAGAGAAAAGAGGATGAAGAAACAAGAAGCAGGCAAGCAGAAAAAAGAGAGAAGAGTTGGGACCTGAAGCTTGTGCCAGGCCAGAGCCCCTGCTTCATGATCATCCAAATAACAACCTGACTGGAGCTAAGTACTTGAACCTCCCTAGAGAGAGCTTGCTATTCTCTGTTCTTAGGGAACTTGGGTTTCCTGGGTAAAAGATATCTCAGTTAGAAACGTCTTTCCTGCTTAGGATGCTTTTTTATGGATAGGGAAACAGGCTCCCATTTATTTTGTGGCAACTGGGGTGCAGAGAGAGAGACTTAACTGCAGGTTGCTTTGTATTTAGTTAGAAGACAGCTCATCTCTTTTGTGGCCTCTTTAGGCATTATGAGTTTAATGCTTAGTAGCAGTCTGGGGTTTTCTGGGTGGCCAGAATGTTAGACCTCTGAAAAGCCTTGATTGTAAATACTGTACATAGAGTAACTTGTGTGTTATATATTTTGTTGTGTGTAGTGTAGTTTGTGTCCTGTCATTGTAATAAATATTTGTTTAATCAAGTGTGCCTGGATTATTACTCCTCTCACCAAAGCTGTGCCAGAGGACAAAGGACACATGCCTCCAATTATACCAACCGCTCGGGTATAGTCTGGTGAAATCACTTACAATGAATAATAATATGAATAATTATTTCACTTATTGACTAAAACACTCAGTCAAATCAGAATGTTCACCATTTTGTAACCCTCCATTTGTAGCACTATTTTTTCTGGAAATTAAACCTTAGTAATATTGACTTGCAAATCATAAATCCCTATCTCGCTTTTAATTCCAAGCACACTTAACAGCAATGTAGGGAATTCTTGCTCCTAACTGACTGTGGTAATGTATATTTTTTTAAGAAAAAATGAGAAGCCTCAAACTGTCAGTGTTCAATGTCAGTAGAAACACACTTGTGTAGAAAGGGATCAGGGCTTCCTAAGTGGCTCAGCCGGTAGAGATTTCTGCACATGTTGAGAATGAACAGTTGCTAACTGACTCTTATAGGGATTTCTCAAGCAATGGAGCACACTAAGCTAGGCATGTGCATCAAGGGTAGATTTGGGTTAGTTGGCCTGTACTCTATCGGTTCTCAGTGAAGCTCGTGGCCTCCAGGATGCTGGAAGGCTGTGATAGCTGTTGACGAGGGACCGAACCTTCAATCCATGCTGAAACTGCAGCACAGGGATGTGATGTCTGTGAATTTCATAATGGCCCAGATGCTGGCGGGGAGGCAGGCTTACCGTGCAAACCTGGGCAATCCGTGAGACGGTGAACTTCTCAATGAAATCGTATTCTTTGCCCACTTCGCTGAAGAAGAAGTAGACCTTGTCATTGCCGGATTCTCCAGGGATGAAGGTGGAGCTGATAAAAGTAGGATCTGCCAACAAATGACTAAGTCAGGTCATATCTCTAAAGGATGAAGCACATGTTCATCTTTGTTATGTGTTATAAACAACTACAGCTCCTGTTGTTTTATAGTTTGACACATTAAAGATTTTACAAGCTTCGGCAAGCTGCAAGCTTTACAACATTGTCTTGTGAATAAGCCAACACAAGATGATGGAGGTTCCAAGCATGATAATCTCTGAGCATTTTATGTCAATTGACATGTGGGTTTAAACAAGTATTATATGTATTATCAGCATTAACAAAAGCCCATTCTATATAGTTTATCATGGCCGTGAATAAATAGGACTCCTAATGCCTTTGTCATGTCACCTCATTACATAGATATTTATAGCCTATGCTTTATCTCTGTGGTTTAAAGCCCTAATAATGCATGTACAGTTCTATAACCACAATATCCTAATGGATATGTTAATTAATAATTGTTGAATGTTATATGATAGAAAACAGTGAGATACATAATTGGCTGTGTTGATCAATGGCCCAAATAGATGTCTCATTACCTTCTAAGCTATAATTGATTTTACAAAGGAGTACTGCAGTGACTAAAATACTGGCCATTTTAGATTATTTTAAATTCTATTAATCACAACAAAACCATCACATGAACTATGATGGTTATATGATGGACAATTGGTATTTCGTATTTAAACTGTATTTTGCTTTGTTTGGGATTAGATGTGGGTGTTCTTAACTGTTTGCTTCTTGAATATTGATTGTCTTTAGTCTAGGACAGAGGAAGCTACAAAGGGGTTCAAGTATTCTACATTCTGAAAGTTAATGTCAGCACAAAAGACATTCTCGGGCATGATATAAAGAATACAGCATTCTAATGCGTAAGTTATAGATGGACTAAGAGCTGAAAAAGACACATGTACTGTGTGGAGACAGAGACCAGGAAGGCAAAGAGCTTGTCTGTGCTGAAATATCCAAGAAATTCCTACAGAAACTACAGTATGAGTTCGGCTGGTTCTAGGTTAACATTCCAAGGACTTCACATTGTATATTAGGGGACCATGCCTTTTCAGTGGCAGCCCCTTGCCTCTATAATATACTTCCAGTCCACATCAAGAATGAAGCTTCTGTTTCAGAATCTCACATTTAAACATATGTTTTCAATGGCCTTTAAATCTCAATGCATTTCTTTAAATTCTCTTAATATTAGTATTTTTTATACTTTGGACACCATACCATACTGATTTTCATTGTACAATTTATATGAAGAGCCTTAGCGATGCACTGTATTAAAGTCAGTATACAGAATTAAGATTGACTGATCGAAAAAGTTACTCCCTTAATCCTTGGATCTAGATCAGCTGAATGGATCCTCTGTGTCATGTTCTTATGTTTCACCTTTGTCATTGCTGTATCACATCCCATGCCAATCCAAAATTATAGTACTACAACTTCAAACATTACCTGCTTTGAAGTATCTAAAACCAGCACATGATGTGATTCAGAGTCTTGTGTCTTACCTTGCAGCCAGCCCAGACTGTCCTCAACCTTCATGTCCATCACACTGCCTCCACTCACAAAGCGTGAAATCACAGGCTGCTTACCCTGGAAATCCCCTACAGTGCCAGTATAGAGTTCACCATCTGGAAATAAGTCATAAGTCACATTTGTTGACTAGGTTTGACATACTTGGTCCTTTCTAAAATAATCATTGTGAATGTAGCAAGAAGGTCCAATTACAAAAACACTTCAGACTTTACTCTCATCGCTGGAGAGATCAGATTGTGTATAGCTACTTGCACGTCACGTTTAGCCCAGTGGCTTTTTGTAACACACCATCCAGTTCTAGCAAACTGGATGAATCAAAAACATCTCAGTCCATCAATGCATTTTTTGAGTGTTGCGGGGAAGCTAGAACCTATCCCAGCAAGCAATAGGTGCAAGGCAGGTCACACCCTGGACAGGATGCAAGTCCATCGCAGGGAACAAACAGACACAAACTCACACTCACACTCACAGTCACACCTACAGTAGGGCCAATTTTCCCAGAAGCCAATTAACCTACCAGCTTTGGAGTGGAAGGAACATACAAATATACAGTACAAACTCCAGAAACCTCCCCAGTTCTGCAAACACCTTAGTTCCACCTTTGTTATTTACATATGTTTTTGCTAAAAAAATAAAAAAATGTCCAAATATGTTTTTCTTCCAAACATAATGTTATATGTGGACACCATTTACTTATATAAATTATAATATTACAGTATAATACATAACAATATTTTATAATAGCACAGTACATATTATCTTCTAAGTCTCACTTAGAAAGTGAACTAAACCATAAACCTGCAAGAATTTTCCAGGTTAGTCTTTAGCCACTTACATTAATGATGAACAGTGAGTAAACTAAAAGGAATCTAGAATGATACCTACGAAAGTCTAAATTAATTGACCAAACCTTTTGTACCTTCAGTTTAAGGTAAGGATACTGTAAGGGGACACGGGGAAGGGTCATCTCTAACAGGTACTTCCGAAACGAAACGCTGAAAATGCTAGAGATGGACCTTAGCGAGATGGCGGACAAAAAGAATCAGCTGACCAGTAGATGGAAAGGGTCTACCTTAAGAGACAACGAGACACAGCTGAGACGCATCAGGAACCGGGATATAAGTGGCCCGGAGGCAGTGAACAGTGTGGAAGCTGGGAAGGTGAATGTGTTTTGGAGGAAAAGAGTGGAAAGAGGTGCTTGTTACGGATCGGGCTAAGGAACAACGAACGACTGCAAGGAGAAAGGTTTATGATTTTGGATTACGGACACTGGTTTAGGATACATCGTGGATTGTCTTTATTACGGACTTTTGGAACTCGGAACGAATCAGGACTAAGGGAATGGATAACGGACTGTATTGGAAGAAACGCCACGGATCTGAGGACAGTAAAGTGTGGTGTAAGTACTACCTTCGTTTACATAAACTATCCCCTGGAGACACCACAATACATATCAGTGGGATACCTGCTGTATGCAGGAAAATCCTTTTGTCATATAACTACAGCAGTGTTGTGTAAGGGCCTGATCTGCTGTATTGTGGGGTGCTAGTGCACGAGGCCAGCTGCCCTTCAGGGGCAGATGAAGGATGTGTATGAAAAGCCATTTGGAAGCCTTTAGCAAGATCTAAACACAAGGACTTAATCACCTCAAAAATAAAAGAGATACGATCAGTGCTTTTCACAGAAGACTTGAATTTTCCTCACACACACTAGGAATAGCCAATTGGAATCACAATCGCAATGAACAAAAATGGTTAGTAACATCTTTCTTATTCATATTGTCACAGCACCTTTGAAAAGCATTGTATTGATCTACTCATTTGAAAGGGTCTAGATAAGAACAGGGAAAACATGGCTTTCAGAACCAATAGAAAAACAGAAATATGATTATAACAGTGTATTGTTTGAAGTCTATTTTGAAAGTGTACAGATAGAATCCAAGATTTACATTTCAGAAATGCACTCTATGAAGGAATCAGGCAGCTTACAAAACATAGGATGAGACAGGATGCAAATGGTATCAATACAGAATAGACTGCAAAGTCTAAATTCTGTAAATTGTAAAACATCTCTTAAATAGCATTGCAGTAAAGTCTTTAAAATAAGTAACTGAGTTGCATAGAACAGATGTGTACTGTAGGTGGCATGGTGGCACTGTGAATAGCATAGCTGTCTTACTGCACTGGGGTCCTGGGTTCAGTTCCTGGGGTGCTGTGTGAATTTTGTTCATTATCCCAATATTCAAAGACATACTCCAAAAGACATACTAGTAGGTGAATTGGATTCTGGAAAAATTGGTCCTGGTGTGAGTGTGTTTGCATCTGTGTGAGCTCTGAAATGGACTGGCATCCTGTTAAGGTTGTATCCTGTCTTGTGCTAATTCATTTTCAGGTTATGCTTAAGTTTTCTCCATTGGATTAAGTGGTTTAGAAATGGAGGGACTGATAACACAACTGTCACATGTATGCTTCTAGAAATATTCCAGACACTTCTATATTATTATTCCTTTAAATACAATTCAAGAACAAATCTAGAATAACATTCTGCTCTTTAGTAGGGCAATGTTAGCCTTTTTTTTAACTATATAGACATCTCTGAAGGTGGTGGTCTGGCGTATAAAATGAGGTAACACTGAAGATATTTAACAGCAACTGTTACAGAGCAGACAGATTTGGAGTATATAAACTGGGTTGAGCCACCAGAGGGCGGCATTGAGATACTCCAAAGATTAAAAAACACCTACATTTTCTCCAGATTATCAAGCAAGCAAATCAATTGGCTATTTAAAGACTCAGAGAGTAGACGGAAATTGTCATCTTAGACCCTTACATTCTTATCAGTACTTAGAGACTATCCTAGGGTGAGATTCCTGCGATTAAGGAAATATTAAACTGTTTTGGTGAGAAACGAAAAAGAGGTCTTTGAATAGCTTAGCAAAAATAAGGAGAATTATTCTCGGTTGTTGCAGTGCTGACCCACCAGTAATAAAGAATACAGTAAAGAGTGGACAAGCCAATACAGGATCAACTGATTTTAGGTCTAATTACATTGCTGCTTATTTTTTCCCGGAGGACAACCATTGGGTAGGTTTATTTAGATCAGGATCAGTCTGTCTGTCACTTAACTGCCGAAGACAAGAAGGTTTTTAGGTGCAGATGTCCCATGCTATCTTTCTATTGGTAAAGGGGTATCTGTCTCATGAATCACCATGTTTAAGGTTAATGTTTAAGGTTCTGTGAATGGTCCTTGGCCTCCACAAGTTGTGAGATGACTATAAAGTGAATCCACAAAATCCTGAAACACGACATTTCACTGTAGTGTCCATTATCAAGAATGTTAAGACTACTGGTGTAAAGCATCCTTGCCAGCATGAGGACTTCAGTGTAACTTGTCAAGTAGTTCTGGAGGCAACTGCAACTTGAAAAACAACAAAACAGGCATCCTCAGGATATAAAGTGTAGAAAACTGCCATACACTATCACCTACTTACTGTAAGTGTGGCATACATGGCCATATTGTAAAGTTTCTTCTAAAGAAGAACCACAAACAGAGACATCTTGAATGTACCAGACTACATCCAAGCGACAACTGGAATCACATGTTTGGGTCAGAAGAAATTAAATTCTGATGTTCTTGAGAGCATTATGACCCCATTTAAAATATTGTTTAGAGATTTGACAACCACGTTACAGTATGTAAGAATTTTATTAAATGGAATTGGATCAAAAATGGGCAAACAGGTAAATTCTTGAGCACAACAGAATGTAATAGATTTAGTCTTACAAGAAGAATTGAAACTTTTAGTATAGAACAAAAAGTTCGATACCATACAAGAAGCCCCTCGTTCAAGTATTCAAAATCCTCAAAGGCATTGATAAAGTCAATTTAATGGATCTCTTCAGACTCAACAGTAACAAATTAAATAGAGGATAAGTGCATTTCAAAACAAGAGCAGGAGGTGCTTTTTACTTTTTAAGGGTAATGGAAGTCTGGAAGAAGCCACTTAGCCATGCTGTTGATGCTGATACCGTGGCTTCTCTGAAGAAATGGATCAATAAGATCCTCAATTAGCCACTTAAAATCAAACAATGCTGATGGCCAGATGGCCTCCAGTCTTTTTTTAACTTTATTATTTTCTTCATACCATAAGCCAATCAGTTAATTATTCCCTCAGGTAATAATAATAATAATAATTACTTACACTTATATAGCGCTTTTCTGGACACTCCACTCAAAGCGCTTTACAGGTAATGGGGACTCCCGTCCACCACCACCAATGTGCAGCATCCACCTGGATGATGCGACGGCAGCTATAGTGTGCCAGAACGCTCACCACACATCAGCTATCAGTGGGGAGGAGAGCAGAGTAACGTAGCCAATTCATAGAGGGGGATTATTAGGAGGCCATGATTGGTAAGGGCCAATGGGAAGTGTGGCCAGGACGCCAGGATTACACCCCTACTCTTTTCGAGAAACACCCTGGGATTTTAATGACCACAGAGAGTCAGGACCTCGGTTTTACATCTCATCTGAAGGACGGCATCTGTTTTTACAGTATAGTGTCCCCGTCACTATACTGGAGCATTTGGACCCACATGGACCGCAGGTGAGCACCCTCTGCTGGCCCCACTAACACCACTTCCAGCAGCAACCTTAGTTTTTCCCAGGAGGTCTCCCATCCAGGTACTGACCAGGCTCACACCTGCTTAGCTTCAGTGGGTTGCCAGTTGTGAGTTGCAGGGTGATATGGCTGCTGGATTAAGTAGTATTTGCACTTTTTGCAGTGTTTTATTGTATAAGTATTGCAATATAGATTCGCATTAATTTCTATAACTGTGATACAAGATGGTGCTTGTCTTTCTATTTAATGCTAAAATTAACTACTACTGAGTGTTAAACACACATACTGCACAATTCCTCTGCAGAAGCTCAATGTTATTCATTAGTAGTTCTTAATTGGTAGCTATATCATCCTGCAACTTACAACAAGTAGCCCACTGAAGCTAAGCAGTGTGAGTCTGACCAGTACCTGGATGGGTGACATCCTGGGAAAGCTAAGGCTGCTGCTGGAAGAGGTGTTTGTAGGACCAGTAGGGGGCACTCACCCCACAGTCTGTGTTGGTTTTAATGTCCCAATATAGTGACGGGGACACTATACTTTAAATAAGGTGCAGTCCTTCAGATGAGACATAAAACTGAGATCCTGACTCTCCATATTAATTAAAAATATCATGGCAAATATTTGGTAAAAATACCAAATGCTATTCTCAAAATGAGTAGGAGTGTTACCCTGGTGTCCTTGCCAAATTTCCCTCTGGCATTTACCAATCATAGCCTCCCAATAACCCCCATCTCTGAACTGGCTTCAGTTCTGAGAGCTGGTGTGTGGGAGCAGACTTGTGCACTCTGACTGCTGTTGCATCATCCAGGTGGGGGAGCACATAGGTGGTGGAGGAGGGGAATCCCCATGACCTGTAAAGTGCTGTGAGTGGAGTGTTGAGAAAAGCGCTATATTTGTGTAACATTTTTTTTTAAATACCATGTTATCTTAAAGCAAAGTTTTAGAATGATTTTCTGTTAATAAAAGACCAATACATTCTCATAGTTTCTAAGTGATTATTGGAAAGCTTACCAACAATGATAGCTGTGTGTTTCTGATAGGGATCATAAGGACATCGACTTCTGCCGTCCTCAGTAATCTGTGTACCGCTGCCATCATTCACAAAAGAGAAGGTCTTTGTATCCTGGAAGAGATCAGATGAAAACTGCTGCTCAGTTTAGTTTAGGATAAGAGATCTCTAAGAGAAACTAGGTTGCTGTTGTAACTCATTGGTGTTGATTTACTATGGTGGCAGCCATTGCTCTGCACCAGAAATTCCAATCCAATGCACCAATAAGGTGACAGGGACATTGTCTATAGGTGGTGTGGGGCTGCGTAGCCTTTGACGTGGAAAGAGATAGGTGGATTACAGGGGGGCAAGTCGGAGGAGTCTGCCTATATGCAAGATGTGAAACACAAAACTGGCTATTCCAAACCAGTTACGCATAACAAGAAGTGACATATTTAAAGACAATGGCTTCAGCCCATCTCAGCATGAGGGAGTCTGCTTCACTCCCAGGATTTTCCTGTTTCCTGTGTTTCAGACTCTGTTCAGCCCTTTATGTTACCATGTCTTCTGGATATGGGAAACCCCACGTTGATGAAGGAGAGTGTGACTGTGTAAAACTGCCAGTGTAGAGAGCTGGTCTTTAGCACGGCGCAGCTCTCTGCTGACTAGGAAGTAGAGCTGTGTGTGCAGAGACAGGGACGGTGGCAGAGATAGAGATACAGGCAGGGGCAGAGGCAGAGCTATGTCTCATGACCATGCACTATATTTTGTCAGGTCATCTGATGTATCTTCTTATTTTATTCTAAAAAAAAACAATTAAAATTAAAAACAAGAAATGTTTATTTTCTGAGACCCTAGAATGTTTGTGAGGTAGATATGGAGAATTAGGAGTAGTGTGCTCTGAGTTAAGCATCTGATCCTTATATCCTTAAAAGCTAGTTTAAAATTGTACAAACAAGAATATTCCAATAAACACAGGGTTATTTAAATTAAGACAAAAGACAGGCAACTTACAATGTAGGTGCAGGTTGGACTGAATGCATATGTTCCGCAGGCATAGATATGGGTATCATTGAGGAACAGCAGAACTCTGATGACATTTATACACTCTGTCTGGAAAAAAAGAAGTACAATCACTGACACTGAAAACAGCTAGATAAAAATAAAGAAGAGAGAGGGACAAATGAGCCAACTGAGCGAAGTTTGCTGAGCTATTTAGCACAACAGGAAAAAAAAGAAAAGGTTACGTTATCTGCATCGATTGTGAATCACTTTTTAGAAAATGACAGTCACAAAACCAGGCTACTTTAGTTTGTTTAAAACAAGAAATTTAGATATGCTGTTTCAATAAATGTTGATCAAGTGAATGTTCGAATATCGTTTGGTGTAATTTCTAATGGACCGGCTTCAGGTAAAAAAAAAGCCGACCTGTGCATCACTAATGACAATAGACTGCTGCAGGGAGGCATGGACATCGCCGCCAAACTGTCTCGTTTTCAATGTGTGACATCATTTGACATCATTTCATTCATGGTGCATAAAACTAAAACACTGAAGCTATAGGCGCTGATGGGGAGAATGAAGAGGCGAAGTGGTCTGCTATAACTCAAGCTTCATTAAAACACAAAGGCAATAGCCAAGGAGAATGAATGGAAACTTTGCCCTTTTGGCAGGCCCTCAAGCCAGCCAAGCCTACGACTAGGCTGGTTCTCGCCCCATTATTGACATTACTGACCAATACCCCATTACAGTCCCCTGAATGGCTGGTGAAACCCCAATACCTAGAACCTAGACACAAGTCCCTCCTTCTACTATTTACAGCCTGCAGTTCTTAACAGTGCTTCTGGGGGTGGGGGAGGTAGCTTTGTAGTGGACGCTACAATATTCTTTCCTCTGAATTAAACAGCGTAGACTTGCTTTAAGAAAGTTGATTAGGTAAGAATATTTTGGTATTTCTAAATATCACAACGTGTCCAAAGTTAAATTATATAAACAACATGAAAGGGCAAACATGTATACTGTATACAGGGGGAGTAAAAACAGTTAAAAACCTTAAAATGAAATTTATATATTATAATTATAAGCGAGAATAACAAAGTGGTATTAAAAAGACCACTGAAACTGTACTAATGTATCTGATCATTATAAACAGTATTAATGTATTAATAGTAAATAATAATGTCAAACTTCTTTTATCTTCTGCAGTCATTTGTTTTTTCCAGTTTTCATAACCTTTGCTTTCTTATTAAAATGCCTATTTACGATACACAATGTTTCAGATGTCAATAACTTTGCAAAAAATGACAGAGCCTTCAAACCACAGGCATTTTAAAGATTGCAATTTTCACAGCTTTTATTTAAACAAAGTCTTGTACCTGGTTGCATTTTTAGAAACCTTAGTGTCAATAAAGCGGATGCCAGGTGTAAGTGGGTTCATAATGCAAGAATCAGTCAACATTCAGAAGTTTCTCAAAAACATACAAAATGTAAAATAATATTGTATGGCATGATGGGCAACTAATTCCCTGAATTTTTAAAGAAAATCAAAAATAAGAACAATAACGTGTCCCAGCCTAAATCAGACATTGCATGTCTTTAAAAGCCATAAAAAAAAACAGGTTTAGATCGTTAAAAACACCTTTTATGCGCAAAAAATGGGTGATTTTTCTTCCTTGTGATCAGCTTAGAATATTTGTGTAGGCTTGAAGTTTTTTTTACTTTTAAATTAAATGTTTTAAACACTTTAATTGTGTAAACGCAACATGTGTTTCGAAAATCAAATTTCCCCCTATCCCTGTGTTGCGAACCAGATCAGCAGATAAGATGAATGAATGAACCTCCAGACCATCTCCTGGATACTCGGAAATGAGGGATTGTTTAGTGCCAGACAGTTAGCGCATTACCACCTAGCAGCAGGGGGGAGGGAAGTGGGCTTTAATTTCACTCTCCATCAATACACATTCCCAATAGTCACTGATGCAGCTTTAGCCAAGTAATTGCTGGTTTAAATGTCTGGTTTTAAGGGAAGAATGTGATTTTTTTGTGTATATGTATTTGTTTTAATTTGTAGTGGTGCTTTGTATTACAGGGATTACGGTACTACAGTTAGTTTTGCGGGTGATTGTGGAGTCCATCGGGGTTTTCAGTTAAGAGGATGTTACTCTGGAGCAGTCTGAGAAATGTCACAAGGCAGATGTTTTAGCGATAGTGGGCTTTAGTCTCTCGGTTTACTGGGGACGTATTAGATATTAAACTGAGGAAGAGATACAGCCCCACACCCCAGACAGGCAAAGGTAATAAAGGTGATAAAAATCCATTCAAAGGGGTGCAGTGTGTTAACTCAAACTCTGCTAACAGAACCGCTTATAAGAACACGGTGACTTTCTGCTTACATGAGAGCTACAGTAAAGTCAGACAGATTTTAAATTACAGTATTTAAGCAATATCAGCTGTTTGTCAAATTCACCTACTTTACTTTGTGCAGTACATGACTTCTGAAAAGGTACCTTTTTCTCTCGTGCAAACTCATCAAAGGTTTCTTCTTTATAATTCTGAAACTTGCCTCAAGGTACGATATGCCTCAAGGACTCATTCATAGTATTGTAGCGCTCTCGGGTTCACGTGGGTATGCGCCCCCACCGCTGGGGACTCGAACCCGGGCCTCCGGCGTCACTCAACAGGGGAGCTACTTGAGCCAAAGGGAAAGCTGCGGTCCCTGCTATTCACAGGGAAGGGCGGTGACGTCACTGTGCTGGTAACCACATCCAGCGATGTAAAAAAATATAACCAAAAGGATCACAAGGCTACATTCCAAGCTAAAAAAGACAAGACTCTTCAGTTTACAGCTCGTCCTTGGTCACTCATTATTAATATTATTAATATCGTCTGTATCGCATTAACATTAGAATGTTCTTACAAGTGTAAAATAGAGGCAATATACAGTACACTGTGTCTCCTCTATAACTCTTCAGTTTACAGAAAAATTCCCCCAGAGCCAAACAATATTGTCCAACAAAGCCCGTCTTGTGTCTAATTTCCAGGGAATAACCCTATTACAAAAGGGAACAGCGCATCTGTCCTTGCTTATGGTTAAACAATACATACAATGTCCAGTGGAATTTCAGCGTTCGCTTTTCTGTAATCTGTACAGAACTGTGACGTCCCATCAATGTTTGGTACCAATTAACAAGGGGACTTCACAGACTTTCTTCAATGAAACAAACTATACTCCAGTAAATAATGTACAGTATAGCACCTTCTGCAACGCTTCTAGTTTAGCAGGATAAGCGCGGTGAAAACATTGTTTAATGGAGGTGACATTACCCACGTCTATATCACTGTACGACACAGGTTTGAGTCATTGTATCTGTTAATAAAACAGAGCTCCCTCCAATAAATTTAACTACTGTACGATTTAATTTTTCCGTTTCAGCTAATTGAGGAGAATACAGAGTCAAATCAGTCAGGATTTCGGAGTTTAAAAAGCGAGCGCTGATTCTTGTTCGTGTAACAAGAACGGTGGCATCTAGACTGTGTACATTAATAAACAACAAAGAGTCACTGGCTCAAAGGTGTAACACGTCTTTATTTCAGCATATTGATAAACTGTTCTCCGGTTACTGGCAATTGTAAAAATAACCCTTCTTCCCTCTTTTGTTTAACTTAAATTCTGTGAAGAAATCCTTAATCAATTCAAATAAGCCAATTTGGCCAGAAAAAGCCTTCCAAAGTAAGTCTTTGGATTGCGCAGTACTGTACAGTATAACATACGGGTTAAAGTTTTAAATTTAAAGTTAAATTGTTGGCTGATTACTGGCTACTCAAATTTGGATTAAGACAAAATATAGATTTTCTCAATTCGGATGTAAACCTGAAAGAGACACATTGTGTTCACAATAAGCTATAATGGTGGACTATTATATATTCGACAACTGTATGTAAGAAACAAACCGAAAGTAATTCTCTGATCGGGCATTAAACCACCTGGGTGCAGTGCACCACATGACAGTCCACTGCCCATTACCACTATAAAAGTAAAAAAAAAAAACAAATGTCAAAATGTTTCAAAAATGTCCACCTGTGATATTTTAGCTGCTTAGTTACATGACTCCTGATTAATATAACTATCAACTGGTATTAAATCAACTTTTTTTTTACAATAACAGCAAATGGTGTTCTTCTACATATTCTTAGAAAAGGATAAAACGTTTCAATTTTTTATTGAAGTACGGTTTATAAACTTTATAATGTTAGAACATGCAAGTTAAAACCATAACCCACTGTAAGTCACCAAGTTAAAGACTTTGATGCATAAAATATATATGAAGACAGTGGAATACTGTTGTGTTCTTTTGTCCAACTGAGCAATCTTGCTTTTTTTTTACAATATACCTACTTTTTAATCAGTTTAATGTTTGACATGCTGTAATACACAGTTTAAAATTATAAAAACTCTTAACAGTATACAACTTAAATTCTTTAACTGGAAAAAGACTGTCATTCAGCATTGACCGGGAATTGAAACCAGGCATTTTCTAGCGACAGCTCAAATGATTCACATGCCACGTTAAGCTTTCACTGCTTCACCTGGCAGTTTTACAAAGGAATACAGCCCTATTTCAACCCCAAAAAACCAGCAGTACTTCACAGCCCATAAACTTCGAATTACTGCAGTATCCCCTGCGTATTTTGAATGGCTGGATCTGTATAATAATTTGACAAACATCAGGAAAGTGCCGGGCACAATACTTTAGAGTGGGAACTGTTCTACAGTTTTTAGGTGTACTGCCCATCACACCTCAGTAAGGCTTGACAGTGTTGCTGACACTCCCTTTTTAAACCAGCTTTCAAAGCTATTTTTTGTTGGAAAATGTACAAGAAAAGCTCAGTCATTTTATACAGCACATTTTATTTCAGCTATGGTATTACTGGTTCAGAAACCCAGTGTGGACAGGTGTGACTTAATTTGACTATGTATATGTTCCTAGATTAATGTAGATAATACAACTTTTGATACAGGCCAGATATTAGATTCTGAACACATTTTTCACAATAAAAATATGTAATCTCTGTTATTCACCACACGCAGTCTTACCTCTTCTTTTTTCCCTTTTTTTGAGCATTCTTCAAGTTTCTTATTAAATGTGGTCCAGTTCACCTGCAACAAAAAACATGAAAAAAAAGTTTAATATCAGGCACTAGGAACTGACTGTTTCCAGCATGCAGTGTTTTCTTCACATTGTTAGTATACAGAGAATTAAGAACATCTTAATCTCTATCACAAAGTGGGACTAAAGCACAATATATTTGGTGGTGGTGGAGGGGAGTCCCCATTACCTGTAAAGCACTTTGAGTGGAGTGTCCAGAAAAGCACTATATAAATGTAAGCTATTATTATTATTAATTTGTGCGCGTGGTGATAGAGATTAAGATGTTCTCAAGATGTTTATCTTTAAAAAATGTAAACATCAAATTCAGGGTTGCAGGGAGCTGAGTATATCTCACAAAAAAAAGGTACAAGGCAGGGTACACCCTGGATGGGAATCAGCCCATCTCACAGCAACTAATATATTTAATTTCACTATTTTGAGTTTCCCTGGTTGTTTACATGATTGTAAAAGTACATTCTTTATACAGACAGATGTAGAAAACCCTTTTAAATATAAACACATCATTATGTTTCTTGATGACCGTCATGGTCAGTCTCTTGCAAGAAGCAAACATCATGGGCCTGTGATGGAGTATTTTGTTGAATGGTGTAACAGCTTCCTTCAATGTGTTGAAAACCAAAGATATGGTCATTGATTATAGAAAGTAATCACCAACTGCAAAAACAACAGTCACTGAGGAGCAAGAAATTGAAATTGTTAACATTTACAAATATCTTGGCACTATTGTTGATTACAGGCTAACCTCTGAGGAAAAGATGTGTCCCATGTGTAAGAAGAGCCAAAAGAGATTGTTCTTCCTGAGAAAACAGCGCTCTTTTTATGTGTGTAATACATCTAGTGTGTAGATGTACAGTATACTTTATATCTAGATACATCATGATAGTATCCATCTTAAACGCTGATTAACCCAATTTGTTTTTTTAGTAAATTGTGAAGATTACTTAAGATGCTAACTTGTTTTTGCTTATTTTATGCATGCATGTTTTTATTTGTTAATGGGTTCACGTTGTATTAAATTTATTATGTATTGTTCTATGTCTTTTACTTGCAAAGCAAATTTTCCATCTGGGGCAAAATAAGTGAAATACATTATAAACTAATGTATTAGTTAGTTTTAATGTACTAGTATGTTGGTAGTAGGTACACATCCTAGAGGACTGCCCAATCCACAGACTCAGTGAGGGCTACACACCCTACTCACAGCTGGACCAGAAGATATCATTTGGGTCAGGGAAGAAAGTAAGGTGGTGTGACCCGGTCTTATGACTGTTTTGTAATCTCTGTACTATGCAAAGGAACAAGTAACGTGTAAATTCCATGCTGAAAAGAAAAGAAAGGAAACACAACGTTTCAGCTTGGAAGCCTTCTTCAGGTGTGAGAAAGACAGGGTAGATGGCAAAGATTAAATAGCACAGAAGAACAAAAACTGGAAATGTGGAGGAGGAGGGAGAGGGGAGAGGCAGAGAGGCCACTCAGGAAGTGCAAATTGGAGAGGGGTGGAGAATGTGTGAAGTCAGACCCTGCATGAGAATAGAGAAGATTACACGAAAATAAGTCTGTCATTGAGAGAAGGGGGGAGGTGTGAACCAAGTTTCAGGATGAGTTTCCTTTCTTTTGTGTTTCTGCTCTTGGAGTTGAGAAACCCCTCTTTGAGAACAGAGATCAGTCTGAGGTGATCACGGCTGTCTGAGGTGAAATGAGAAACTATGGGCTTGGAGAAAGCTTTAATCTTCACAGCCCTTCTCTGAAGCAGTCTCCTAGTCTCCTTCCAGTTTCCCCAATATAGATAGCTGGGCATTTTTTTGCAAGAGATACAGTAAATAAGGTTGCTGGAGACACAGGATATTGTCTGGGTGATCCAGAATTGACCTGGGGGGCCCTGAATGAGCATGTTGTTAGATATGTATTTGCAGGTGATGCAGCAAGTTCTGTTGCAGGGGAAGGTGCCTGGTGGGGAACATTGCTAATTGAACTATCTCTGTACTATGTACAGTATAATGCAATTAGCATGTAGCCTACGAAGAAGACAAAAACAACATGCACAAATCACACTCCTGAAGTTTGTCCTTAGAACCTATAGTCAATAAGCCTTTCTATAAATCTACAGATTTATCCAAATAAATTTAGTTAAAATATATAAATATAGTCAAAGATAGTTGCTTCTGGCAGGCTGTTGCACAATACTGTGACTGATTTCATTTACATGCTGAAACAAGTACTTTGGATCTCCACTTTCCTTTCTAAAAAAACAGAACTCAAATGGAGATTTTCAAAGTCTAGATAGCAACAGATCTTCGGTTATGAAATATCTGTTGTGGACTGATTCTGAACATTCTGAAGACGTGTGGGTTTGGACCTTTGTGCTTTTATCTGCTTTTGACAGCAATTTATAATACAAAAAATCATTTAACTTGTCAATATGTCAATCTCTGAATGGATCTTTGAATTTTTTGCTCCTGTTTGCGTGTTCCTGAAAAATTCTAATTTTACACTTTCAGATATTTAAATGTTTAGCTGTAAGATGCTAGGCTAAACAGGCAGAACAACAATTATAAAATTAATGTTACAAAGGTACTAAAATAAGAAATATAGTACATGAATCCTGTAACAGAACAGAAAAATAAAACAATTATCAAATAGCAGAAAAAACAAGTATATTCATATTATATTCATCGATTTCCAAAGCATCCATTAATTTTTCTTACCAACAGACACACACACCGCTTGGCCACTTTTCCAGGAATCTAATTTATTAATTAAATAAAATTAATGTTTTTTGACTGTGGGAGGAAAACAGAGAACTGAGAAGAAACCCGCCATGACTTGGCGATAACTGACAGAATGTGTCATGACGGAATACATTCTAACACTAATTCTACTGATTCACTGATGTCTGTGGTGAAGACACACCATTACATAAGTACAGTATTTTTACAGCCTGAATTGAATTTCTTTTTCGTTGTTCATTTCTATACACCAAACCAGAGAGGATGATATAATTAGCTGTTACCCAAGTCTGCATACTTCTTGTAAGATTACTTACATCAGCTTTCTCTTCTATAGCACAGCACACTCAGTAAAAGGCCTGGTCTTATACTACTTTGCAGTCTTTTGGATCAAAGGACATACTACAGTATGTGCTGGACCAAGAATCATTCTGGTGGAAAAGTATGTTTCATAAATGCGAGTGAGAGTATCAATAGATATGAATAGAAGGAAGAAAGTTGCAGAATCCCAAATAACTCAAGCAGCTGAATAAACAAGCATGAGATACAACAGAAGTAGTGCAGCTACAGGCAGTGACAATTTTTTTTTAGTGATCAGATACCTTCCATAGCAAAAACCTTTCATTCACCCTCCAAAAAAATATTATTATGACTGGAAAATCACATATCCAAAATGTCTCCTCTCTTACCTTTTTCACCACTGTCATGACACCTGGCTGACTGACATTCAATGAGAGCAGTGCGTCCCGGGCCCCAACGTATAGAATATCACCATCATTACTTAGCAGAAGTGTGGTGGTGTTCTGAACACTTGGATCCTTAAACCAGGACAGAACTCTGCCAGGGCTATCTGTGAAGGCAATGGATGATATTGAGAACATGCTGAGAACATAACAAAATATGGGCAAAAAGACCTTTAAAAAATGACAAAAAAATAACAACAAAGGAGATTACAGCTATATTCATCATGTTCTTACAAACCACAACATTTATTTTGGGAATATCATTCAAATATTTTGGTAACAATTGTCAAACCAATAACTGGGGTCACTTGTACATGTATATAACCCTACTATACAGCAGTGTTAGGGACTATAAATACGCTGGGCAAACGTTCTGAGGTCAAATTCTTCCAGCACGGGGGTACCTTTAAAGCGGAGACGACGGCACCGAAATTTTTTGGCGCGCCTTCTCTTTAA